CTTGTTGGAGGTGTACCACTGGGCCCATGCCAGGCATTCTCCCCCCTCCCCCCTCTCTCTCTCTCTCTCTCTCTGCCTGCTGCCAGTGGGTCAGGATGTAAAGCTCTCAGCTACTGCTCTACTGCTATGCCTGTCTGTTTCACACCATGATGAACATAGTCTCACCCTCTACAACTGTAAGCCAGCCCCAATTAAATGCTTCCTTTTGTAAGAGTTGCCTTGGTCATGGTGTCTCTTCACAGCAATAGAATAGTAACTAAGACAGTGTGTGCATGACATATCACCAGCAATAGAATGTCTAGTCCAATGGACCTGTGCTTTGTGTGTACATGTGGATGTGTTCATGTGTGTATTTATGTACATGTTTGTATACGTATATACATATATATGTGTATATATGTGCACGTGTATATCAATGCACATTGCAAATGTGTGCACATGTGTGTGAAAGTCAGAGGTCAACATTTGTTTCTTCCTCAGTCACTCTCCATCTCATTTTTTCTTTGTTTTCTTATGTGGGTGTGAGTGTGGGTGTGTGTGCACGTGTGTACACACACATGTGAAGGCCAGAAGACAACCTGTGGGAGTATGTTCTCTCCTGTTACTATGTGGGCTCTGGGGTCAAACTCAGGTCATCAGGCCTGACAACAAGCACCCTCGCCTGCTGAGCCATCCTGCTGGCCCTCCACCTCCACTTCACACCACCTTTTTGAGACAGGCTTACCATGGGGCAGCAAGGCCCACAGACCCTCCTGCCTCTGCCTCCCTGGCATGAGGTTAGAGGTGCTGGCGTGGCAAACTTGTCACTGAGTCATCTTCCCAGCTCTGAGTCAGTACTTGTCAAACGCTGAAGGTGCTAAGACTTCCCTCCTCTGTCACAGGCGAAGAGGACCATATCTCTCCGTCTCCTTCTGTTTCCCTCACTGCCACAATCACACACACATATATATACAGAGACATGCATACAGACACACACTTATACACACATATGTACATACATACACGCATATATACAGAGACACACATATACATATACACACACTTATATACACATATATACAGAGACACACTTATACACACACATATGTACACACTTATACACACATCACACACACACATACACACACACACACACACACACACACACACACACACACACACACACACCTGACCTAAGAGGAATTATATACTAAGTTCTCCAGAGACTCCATTAGTGGTTCCCCTCTGAGTCACACTCAATGGTATCGATCAAAACTCTGAGCTCTCTTGGAACCCAAACGGAATAAAACTAAGAGCTGGCCATTTAAAAAAATTGTCCAAATCAACCTGTTTAGAGAGAACATACCCCAGAAAAGGGAAGAGGTTCCCTAGGTAGAAACTGCATCTTATAAATGATGAAAACAGAGACTGCATCTCCCATGAGGGCACTGAAGAGGGGCTGCGCTCTTCATCCTTTTGTGGGAATCCAGCCAGTGACAATGTCACCTTGTACACTGCCCAAAGGTGCCTGTGTGCTCGCTGAGGCCCGTGTTGAAGGGATGCTCCTGAAACTTTGACTCTTTTGAAAAACCCAAGTGTTAGAATGGGAAGTTAGGTCAGTCAGTACAGTGCGTGCGTGCAAGCTTGAGGACCTGAGTTCAATCCCCAGAATCGACATTTAAAAGAGCTAAGCTCTACAAGCTAGGCAGGACGGCATGCCCCTGTAACCCCAGCACTGGGGAGGCAGAGAGAGAATTCTTGGGGCTCACTGGGCAGCCCGACTAGCTGAATCAGCAAGCTTCAGGCCAATGAGAGACCCTGTCTTATAAAACAAGGTGGATGGTTCCTGAGGAATGGCACTCAAGACTGATCTCTGGCTTTGGTATACATGAACGCCGACATGAACGCTCACATGTATGCTCGTACACTACACACACACACACACATAAATTCAAATGCCAGCCTGAGTCATCGCCGGGAAGATCACGGCATGCTGCTCTGATGGCATTTCATCCTGGCCATTTCCAGGTGCTAGGTTAAGGCACTGACCCCAGGGCCAAGGCCACTCCTGGGCATCTTTTCTCACCACTTGCCGAGGCATTCTAAGCACCATGCTAGACCTGGCAGTACCGACTCAGAAAAGGATGGGAAGTAACCAGCACGTGGCCAAAGGCTTGGGTTTTGGGGTGTCTTGTTTCACGGGCTTCACGGCAGGTATGGTTTCACAGGGCGGGAACACATGTCTCTGAGAAGTGTGTATGGTTTTAAAGTTCCTGATTCTCAAGCTGGGCTGTTTACTGTCTCTCAGCACCTGAGCCCTGGCTGGAAGAACAGGCCTCCCAAGACAGCGCAGTTGTACCCACGGGGGCTAAGGATACCCCTAAGGGCCCACACTCACAGAGCCGTGGCTCCTCTCTCCAGAGCAGGCCCTGCTCTAAAACACTAAGCATCTTTGATGTGGGCCTTCTTCCCTGAAGTTGGTACGGCCACTTGCACCTCATACTTGAAGCAGAGACTCTGGAAGTCTTTCCAAAGGTCTCCCAAAGAGCCATTGTGTGCTGGAGGGAACTGCTACCAGAAACCGCCAACCCTGCTGCCTTCTCCCTCAACCATCATGGCAGCCCAAGTGGTGGAGGCAAGTCTCCAGCACCTATAAACACAGCTCCTCCCACCCAACCACAGACAGGAAGCAGATGCTGGGAGGCCAGGATGCCCAGCGTAAACATCTGCAGATAGATCAAAAATCCCATTTTGCCTCAGTCCCACGAGCGGTGGTCCATGACTTCTCTGAAACACGATCCCCACAGTAAACACTCTTGGCTCTGTCCACATAACTGCTCTCACCTATGAAATAAGCTTAGAACACTGTTCCCCGCCATCCCTCCCTGAGCCCCAGTGTGAGGTGCCTGCTGACCAGGAGAGCTTTGGAAAGGGCTTTGCCAAGCACTATGCTAATCAGAAGCCACTGCTGAGGAAGGTGGTGACTCAGGCCCCTGGATGACAAGAATGTGTGGAGCAGACAAAAACCCAGCCAGCTATTCCGTCCTCCCTAGGGCTTCTCTGCCACAGCTGGGGAAGGGGGCTGTCCTGCTGGGTGCCAAGCCTGGGACCTCCCCAGGAGGAGAAGAGCATGTTGCACACACCACAAGACATACAGCCCTCACTTTGGGCACCCAGATTTACTGTTCTGTGCATCAGTTTTCCATTTTTGGCTTAGGCTAGTCAGGTTTGAGCTTCCAGCACTTCTGACTAAAGGAATTGCAACTCTCTCTCGTGTATTTGAATATTCAATACATATATTAATTTTATAATCATAAAGTAAACATCTAAAGAGAACTCTCTGAGGCAGCAGAAAAGCCCTGAACAGGAACTCAAGCCATTTGAATTCCCTGCCGGGCCCATAGGAATTCCTGTGTGACTTCGAACAAGTTTCTTAACCTGGCTAGACCACTGTAAAGAAACGGGTTAATGATGCCTTTTACACATTTGAGCTAGATGTATTTGATCTTACAGCATCCTTTGCCAAGTATTATTTTTTTTTCCCATTCTTTCTTTCTTCTCTGGCAGCGTCTCACTGTGCATCCTTGGCTATCCTGGAACTTGCTATATAGATCAGGCTAGCTTCAAACTCACAGAGATCCACCTGCCTCTGCCTCCAGAGTGCTGAGATTGAAAGTGTGTGCTACCACGCCCAGTGCATTCCTTCATTTTTGTTGTTGGTTTTGGGGGGTTTGTTTGTTTGTTTGCTTTTTGTTTGGACAGGGTCCCATGTAGCGCAGGTTGACCTAGAACTCACGACATAACTCAGGCTGGCCTCAAACTCATGCTGATTCCAGATGCCACCACTACCGCTGCTGGTGTTGCTTGGGGTTACACTTTCTGTGTGTCCCTAGAACCACACTGACCCACACAGCTCCGTTAGCTATGTGTGTCTATTAGGTACTTGAAGTGTGGCTAGGTCAAAAAGGGAGATGGGAAAGTGCCGAACACACACTGCAGTTCAAAAAGAAACATATGAGCATAGAACAAAAATGCCAAAAAGACCGCCATCATCCCTAGACTGATGCATGCTGGGAGGACAGTACTTGTGCTGACCTCACGGTCGTGATCGCACTGAGGAAAGTGGATAACAGGCCAGTCACTGGTAAGTCGTTTTCTTCCGTCATCTTGACCCATTCACTGGGTGGACTCCAAGCAGGAGCAGCCGGCCCAGCACTAAAGGGTTCCATCGGACCCAAGGACCCCACACACTGAGCAGAGGTCTGGGGTGAGATGACTTTCGCCTTGACTCTGTCACGTTGCAGGCCAGACACGGATGTGAAGACAGCCACGTGTCTGAAGTGTTCCAGTTGAGTCAAGGCAAAGAAGCCTGCACCCCAGGGGTGACCTTGACAACCTGACTCTCTCGCCACCCCCCCCCAAAGCAAGTTCTAGTTTTAACAAGCTAGCCTTTTCATTCCAGAAAGTCACACAGGTGTGTGTGTGAGGTGGTCCCCACGACACCCTGGCCTCTTTGGGAAAATATACCTGGGTCAGGGTGTCTTTGTTGAGGCTACAAGGAAGAGAGGGATCTGAACCAAAGTATTGTTGTTCCTTGGGCTCTGGTAAGGGAGGGAAACTGAGGCCTAGCCCCTACCACTGCTTGGCTTCTCAAGGGAGGCAAGAGGGAAGAAAAGAGATGGCACAAAACCCCAAAACCCAGAGAAGTTGGGAAGACAACAGACTATACTTACACACAGAGTGAGCCTACGCACATCTCTGGGTACCACACGGGTACCATTCTTCTGCCAGAAACTCCTCCTGTTGGGGATTTTTGTTTATTACTTTGTTTCTCCTTTTCTTGCAGTCTAGGGGTTGAACTCTAGGCCTTGAGCAAACTAGGTAAGGTCTCTACCACTGATCTGCAGCCTCGGGCCGAGAAACCGCCACGTAGACACCAGAGCAGTGAGTCTCGCCATGGGCAGCTCAGGCCTCGTCAACTCTCCTACCCCTGGCCCAGCTGAGCTCCACAGGGCACTTACCAGGTTTTATTTCCAGGAGTCGAAGCTTCGGGTCCTCTGGTGGATGCAATCGTCGCTTCTTGCGCCAGCAGCGGGCAGGATACGTGTACAGCTGGCCCGGAGCAAGGCCTGTGGACGGACACAGTGTAAAGATAAAAGGCTTTAGACCAGAAAGGACATCACAGACTACCCTGCCTAACCTGCCATTCACAGCGAGAGACAACTAGAGCCCAGAGAGGTAAAGCAACTTGTTAGTGTCATCCAGCTGGTCCACAGTTGAGTTAAGGTATAATCTAAGGCGTTTCCCAGACCTCTATCTAGTCCATCAGAATGTTCAGCAGGCCCATCGCCAGGCAGAGCCACCACCTTTAGCAGAAAGGTATTATCTGGCCTGCAGAGACTTGTAAGCCACGAGGCTTGCAAGGCAGTGGCCCTGCAGTGACTGTCCCTCTGTCCAGGGCCAAGTTAAACAAGCTCCCTTCAGAGAGGATCAGCAGAAGCCAGTGAGAGCCTTGACTAGGAAGCGTTTCAAAGACATGGCCTCACAAGATCTGCTTACAGCATCCTCCTACCCACTACTATCAGCTTTGGGCCATTTGCAGGGGCAACTCGTGGAGGTATGACCTGCCCTGGACACCCACTGGTATAGCATGTGTTCCTAGACTTCCTGGCCCACGTGCCAAGCCCCATACACAGAAATGGGAAGAAGTCCATAGGATGAGCAAGTATACACTATCTCCCAAAAGCAGTCCCTATCTGCATTTGGCTTCTAACACCACCAGCTTCGTTCCTATGCCAAGCACCCTGCATACACATATGCACATAACACACACACACACACACACACACAGAGAGAGAGAGAGAGAGAGAGAGAGAGAGAGAGAGAGAGAATTATGGGGATGGGAAGATGACTCAATTGCCACACTAGCGTGAGGACCTGAGTTCAATTCCCAGCACTAGAAGGCACATGTCTATAATCCCAAGTGCTGGGGAGGAGAGATGGAGACAGAGGGGTCCCAGGGCCTTGCTGGCCAGTCAGTAGAGCTGAAACAGCAAGCTCTGGGTTCACTGAGTGACCCTGTCTCAAAGGACAAGGTGAAGAGCGATGAGAAAGATACCCAAAGTCAATTAAGAGGGGAAATGGTTTCCATTGATTGGCAACCATACCAGCATTAAAGGACCAAAATGCCCACGTAACTTTGTATGCTAAGTATCATTTTAATGATACAGTTCTTCCCATGTTTTTCAGAATGGTGAATACATTGGAGGTTTGTATCTCCACCCCATTGATTCTCAGGAAATATTAAGGTTGGAGTCAGAAGGTTTAAGGATCGGCCTGCACCAGATGGATAAAAGGCTAAATGAATCATCTAAGTCATCTTGAGCTCCCTGGACATTGAGACAGGGGCAGCTGTGACCTCCCTCTGAGAGAAAGCATTCCTCACAATGGCTCCATGTTTCTGGTGTGACTCACTTGAGGAAGATGTTATCTCTGGCCCGGTCATTCCTGGATAGATACATCCACTCTGGCCCCACCCAGACAGTCAAGCTGCTTCTGGGGAAGGTCCCCCAGGATCTTAGCAAGGACCCAAGGATTGGCCCACTCCTCCACATCACAGAACAAGTCCCGGAAATCACCACTCATCTGGGGCTAGGGACTCTAATCAGATGAAGTGGCAAATACCTGGAAGAACTCAGAAGTTCCAGAGCCCGAAATCTACACCAGACCTCTGATCTGAAGGGTGGTAAGCCTTTAAGAGAATTCAACAACTGTTTTTAAGGAACTTTATCGCTTGTTTTAATGCCTACTGAGAACATCTGGAGGCCTGAACATCGTCTACTAGCTGCTTGCCTGTGTTCTCTGATATACCAAGACTGGTTTAATGGCCTTTCCTGTAGGATCCTAAATTCCTTGTATTCCCCCAAGGTAGTATAATTAATTGCCTGCATACTAGTGTCTCCCCTACTGGTTTTGAAAGAGCTGGGATGGCAGGAATCATCCCATCTCTAGTGTCCCCTATATTTAGCACACCATACTTGGCAGGCACATCTAGGAATCATCATATAAACTCAACCAGAACTAAACAAGACTCAGAAATACAAGAAAAAAAAAATAACCATTGGCTCCGATAGTCCTGGCTCCAGGGTATTCATTCACCAAGACACAAACCGTTCGAGAGGGGCTGGGGATATGGCTCAGCAGTAAAGACCTGACCTACCATGTACACCCTGGGTTCAGTTCCCAGAACAAGGAAAGAAAATGTCTTGTTTGACAAGCCATGCAAGGCCTCTGGGGGGGGGGGGGGGGGCGCTGGCCTTAGTTCTGAGCCCGCCCACATCTGTGTGGCCATCTCTGTGCTGTGGTTTTTCTTCTTGCCCCATCCCCTTTGATTCCTGGTATTTCCAACCTGGACCGAGGCTGCTAAAGGATAAGCTGGTCCTGACTAGCCCTCTCAAAGGGTCTAAGGGGCCCAAATTAAAAAATGTTCGCATATGCCTGGGTACTATACGCTCTCTACATTGTAATCACTGCTCTGTGGGTTAGTGTTACTGAAACCACCCTATTGGTGGCTTACATCCACTCTCCTAAAGAGCTAAGGCTAGCAACAGTGTGGATGTGGCAGAGGGGCTGATTTTACTTCCTAGCTTGGGGAAGCCCTGTGGTGCAGAAGAATCTCATATGCATGAGCATTAGGAAACACCACAGCCCCACCAGAGCCCGCCTGTAAGTTCAGATCATCGGTAAAGCCTACCTCAGGGGAGTATGGTGGGAATTAACTGATGTTCAAGAGGAATCTCTCTGCAACCATGAAGACTAGACAGGGGTCAGCTGCTGATCACCACAAGCTGGTTGATACAGATGAGTCTCAGACCCCTGTGCCCATGTGACAACCCGGCCCTTGCCACTGCTGGCTCTTCAGCCACCAGGATGGACACCTGCATCTCTTTTCATTTTTGCTTTGAATCCACCTTGTCTCAACAAGTAAATGGGCCCCGAAGCACTCCCCTAGAGCTCCTTGCCTCCTTTCCTCACCCTGCTTGACAAGCTGACAGACACCAGGGCCCCTTCTGAACCCACACATTCCACCCCACAGTTGCACTTACGGAGGGAAGAGCAGAGCCCGTGAGACTGATGTTGTTTATGTCATTAGAACAGGAGGTCCATAACTCAAAGGCCTGTGGGGGGGGGGGGGGGCGGAGGTGGGGAGGGCAGGGAGGAGGAAGGAAAGGAGGGAGCCACAGTCACTGTCAGGGAAGTTAGCCTTGAGGACTGAGCCTAGGGTTGGGGTGGGTACAGAGGAGAAGATGGAGGAGGAGGGAGGGGACAAGAAGGGGACCAATCCTCCCTGGCAAGCAAGACCACAGCTACCCCTCCAGTCACAGACCCCCTGTGCAAACAGCAGCAAGGTTGCCTGGAGCTGCAGCTCCGAGTTCCCACACTCTGCCTGCGTGAAAGTACAGGCGCCACAGGTACACTCGGGCAGAAATTTGCACACTCAGGCAGAAATTTGCACGCTTGCTGGGAGAACTGGTTCCAGAGAAAACTCTGCTATGATGAGCCTGTGGTTTAAACGGCCAGCAGACTGCAGACAAATACCTGGCTGTGCACGTGGTTCAAGTTTGGGTCTGAGTATCTCTGACAAGGCCTGAGCTAGGAAGAACTGGAACAAGGACAAAGTGACATAGAAAGAGCACAGGCCGGCATGCCAAGGTGGGGCAGGACCAAGCCCCTCCACCCTGCATCAAGGCTGAGTAAGGTATCCCATCATAGGGAATGGGCTCTAAAAAGCCAGTTCGCGCCGGGCGGTGGTGGCGCACGCCTTTAATCCCAGCACTTGGGAGGCAGAGCCAGGCGGATCTCTGTGAGTTCAAGGCCAGCCTGGGCTACAGAGCGAGATCCAGGAAAGGTGCAAAGCTACACAGAGAAACTCTGTCTCGAAAAACCAAAAAAAAAAAAAAAAAGCCAGTTCGTGTACCCAGGGTAGGTCCCAGTCCCATTGTCAGGGGCTCCACAAATAGATCAAGCCATACAACTGTCACCCACATTCAGAGGGCCTAGTTCAGTCCCAGAAAGGCTCCCCAGCTGTCAGTTCAGAGTCCATGAGCTCTTCTGATATGCCAGCCTGTGTTGACTACCCAAGGGAGGCCTTACCCCCTATGAGGAGTGAATAGGGGGGAGGAATGGGGGAAAGATTGTGGGGGGGAGACAGTGGTTGATATGTAAAATGAAAAAATGAATTTTAAAAAAAAGCACAGGAAAATAATTAAGTGGAGCAGAAAAGGACTGAGTGATTCCCTCTTGCTCCAGCCAGATTCAAAGGGTGGAAGTCCCCTGATGGGAAGGTTTTTTTCCACAGCATCCCAAAGGTGGACCCACGGCTGCAACCCAACCTTCCCTGTAATGGAAAGAAAACTCAACATTCACAGGGCAGTGTGTCAGCCGACACCTGTGCTACCCTGCCTTTCTTTCGAATGCAGTTTTACCTCCCAGAACTTAGGCCAGTCTGTCCACCTTCTCTCCCAACAGTCACCAGTAATCACCTCCATCCCACGTCCCCACTCATGCTGAGGGAACCAGAGAGAAATGGGAACACAAGAAGGAGGTAGGTCTGCTTGGAGCCAGAGGACAGGATCAGAGACCACAGATGAAGAATCCAAACGCTGCTGGCCATCCATCACCTGTCTGCAGTCCCACCCAAGCCAGACAAACGGGAAGGCACCCGTGAGGCTCTTCTCAGGGCCATCAGTCCCATTTAAAGAGCTCCTCCACATCTCACTCCCATCGGATGTCACCAAAATGGCTTGTTAATGGCCTTCACATTTACAGACAGGTCGTGCCATGCATTGGGAATTCCTCACCAAGATTGGGCGTTGAGTAGTTCTTGAACCATTAAATCTGAACTAGACTATCAGAGACATGCCAAGGCAGTTATAATTGGGGAAATGCCTGCATAAGAAACTTCGCACAGAGAACTCTTTCTCACATCACAGGGGCTCTGTCCGTGGCCCTGGTTGAAAAACATGCATATGAACCATCCTTACAGGGATGGAAAGATGAGCACAAGGCCCCGGGTAGAGCATGAAGAGTGGGAGCGTGTTTCCTAAGCACATCAGGGGTGTGACCCTGG